ACTTAAGACTGGCCAAACGAGGAACCTGAAATTGACAGATCCATCCATCCCTATCTGTGGCTTAGTTTGGTACCTTAAGAGGCACTGGCTCTGCAGTCCCCATTCATAGTGCCCTGGCTATCAAGCACCTCCTCCAAGAGCTGAACTGGGAGTTTTTTTCAGTGCCAGGTTTACATCTTTTATTCGCCCAAACCTTTAAATTAAAAGGACATGTTGTTGTGCTTTTATTTCCAGACTGCTTTTCGTGTCTTATTGTCCTTCTGCCGCTTACTCGTCATGCTTTGAGATATCTGGCGGTTTTCAAAATTGCTTTTGCAGTTTTATTTTGTTTGCAGCTTTCCAGGGCTTAATGTATTCTTCTTTTTTAATTTCTAAATGGCCTTGAAAACAATATAAACACATGTCACAGACATTATTGTCTGCTTACAGTAACAGATAATGCATCACTCTGCCCCTTCCCATGACTTGCAAAAAATGCCAAACAAGCACATTTTTTCTTGGCAGAATTTCCCTTCACTTGATGCAAAAACTTTGTGTTGCGTCTTGTGTCTCCATGTGTGTACTAGAGCTCATTTATTTATTTTGCAGGACATATATACCGCTTGATTGAAATAAAACCTCCAAGCGGTTTACAATATAGCTATCATGAAAAAAAAAAGGTGAGAAACAACTATTTTTCACAAAGAAAAATAGTTCGAAATCATCAGTAAGCTAAACACCAGATTTAAAAAAATGTCAGCATTCTACATTTCTGGATAAAGGTAAAGCTAAAGGGACCCCTGACCGTTGTGGCCGACTCTGGGGTTGCGGTGCTCATCTCGCTTTATTGGACGAGGGAGCCGGCATACAGCTTCCGGTCATGTGGCCAGCATGACTAAGCCGCTTCTGGTGAACCAGAGCAGCGCACGGAAACGCCTTTTACCTTCCTACTGGAGTGGTACCTATTTATCTACTTGCACTTTGACATGCTTTTGAACTGCTAGGTTGGCAGGAGCAGGGACCGAGCAACTAGAGCTTACCCCATCACAGGGATTCGAACCACTGACCTTCTGATCCGCAAGTCCTAGGCTCTGTGGTTTAACCCACAGTGCCACCTGTGTCCCACATTTCTGGATAGGCTTGCCTAACAAAAAATGTTCTTAGCAGGTGCTGAAAAGAGTACAGAAAAAGCGTGTAAGTGTGGGTTCCAAAGTGTGGGTTCTACCACATTAAAATTTGATTTCCTACAAATACATAACAAGTATTATGTGGAACCTGCAACAGAGCCAGTTCCTATATCTATATATCTCTATCTATCCATGTATCTGTTATAATTACTGGGTTTTTTATGCCGTTCATCTTTTTATCTATAAGCTGCATTGAGTCCCTGTAGGAGAAAAAGGCAGGGTATTAATATAAATATTAATAATAAGGTTACCATATTTCAAAAAGTGAAAATCTGGACACAAAAGTTGTTCAGGTTTTTTGGGCAAAGTTGTTGAGTTGTTGTTTTTTGCTTGTTTGTTTTTTGCAAACTCTCCAAAAAAGAGAGAGAATTTTTCACCTTTTTGTTTTTTTGAAAATCACCATACACATGGGTTATAGGTAATTCCACCCAGATGCCATTTTCGATGGGCAAATTCCAGCTCTGTCCGGGAAATTCCAGCCGTGTGGCAGCCCTAATTAATATTGTTTTATTGTGCATTCATTAAGCTCAAAGGAAGACATTTCTGCTTCATTTCTAGTTGGTGCATACTGTAACTCCCTGCCAAAATCATGTAACTTCTCCTACCACAAATGTGTTATTTGTCCAGGTTCTGTTTTGCTATGGGACAAGTGTGTCCCTCCAGAGGGCAATCTGGCACTAAATGCAGGAGAAACAGCATAGAACAATTGATAAAGCAGAACGATGTGTGGTCAGCCCACCATAAATGCAATATGGTACTGTAGCATCAGCATGCCAATGACATCTTGCAAAATACACCTGAAAAAAAAAATCAGTCTGGAGTTGCACCAAAGAGGGGAGCTGCAAGAGATTGTTGCAGTACAGAATGCTACTGTTTTCTTTTGTTTTGTTTTGCAGACTGCCATCCTATACCCACTTGGCAGGCTTAAGTAGCGATGAACCCAGGATGGTGTTAGGATGGTACTGTCATTCAACCACTCCCTTCCAGTCCCCCTTTCCCTGCTGGTGTTTTGTTTCCCCATTCTGAACAGGCGGTCAGCCTTCTATGGTCACTGAGCATGCTCACCTCTCCTTGGGCTGTTTGGGGGGATTTTCCCACCCCCAAAACTTAGATCCCCTCACAAAAAAGATTATTATTTTTGTATCACCTTGCCGACAAAGGTCCATATAGTTAAAGCTATGGTTTTCCCAGTAGTGATGTATGGAAGTGAGAGCTGGACCATAAAGAAGGCTGGTCGCCGAAGAATTGATGCTTTTGAATTATGGTGCTGGAGGAGACTCTTGAGAGTCCCATGGACTGCAAGAAGATCAAACCAATCCATTCTGAAGGAAATCAGCCCTGAGTGCTCCCTGGAAGGACAGATCCTGAAGCTGATGCTCCAATACTTTGGCCACCTCATGAGAAGAGAAGATTCCCTGGAAAAGACCCTGATGTTGGGCAAGATGGAGGGCACAAGGAGAAGGGGACGACAGAGGACGAGATGGTGGGACAGTGTTCTCGAAGCTACCAGCATGAGTTTGACCAAACTGTGGGAGGCAGTGGAAGACAGGAGTGCCTGGCGTGCTCTGGTCCATGGGGTCACGAAGAGTCGGACACGACTAAACAACAACAAACAACATATTTTTCGTATATCTTCAAGCCTTGGGGTTTCCCCATCTTTCATCTGTTAAGGCAAGAGAACAAAATTTCTGTGGCAAGTTTATAAGGCCAATTTTGCAAGAAATGTTTTTGAAAGTGTTGAGTTTCATGGCCTTGTGCCGACCTATGTGAAGGATGTTCCAATGATAACAATTCTCTATCTCTGTTCCCCAGCCTCCCCAGTATTTTTCAGCTGCAGAAGAAGGCTGTTGCGCTTTGTCTAAGAACATAAGAAGAGCTCGCTGCATCAGACCAATGGCCCACCCCATCACAGAATCATAGGATTGTAGAGTTGGAAGAGACCCGAGGGTCATCTATTCCAACCCCCTGCAATGCAGGAATCTTTTGCCCAGCGTGGTACTCAAACCCATGACCCCGGGTTGAAAACTCTCCTGCTCTTCTCGCAGCAGTCAACCAAGTGCCTCTGGAAAACCCTCAAACGATACCTGAGCATAAGAGGACTCTCCGCTCCTGCCATTTGCAGCAACTAATATTCAGAAAGCATTACTGCTTCCATGACGCACCCATAATCGCAGATGACCCACTCCACAAATCTTACGTCCAGGATTAGACTCTGGCTGACCCAATCTATCAGTGATAGCAACATGGTAATCTGTTTCCATTATTTTGAACATAAGTTTAATGAATGGATTATTCTTTCTCAGTGGAGACTGGTGGTCCTTAGAACTGGTAGGGCAGAAGGGATGGAGCTCAACAGAAGGGGCGCCAGAGAGCCAAGTGATCCTAGTTTTGTCCCCATTTTTCTCCCTGATGACTTCTGCAAGGGTAACACTGAACCTAAGGAGGAGGAATCTAACAGGTAGTGCCACCCTCTGGACTGTTTGGAAGTAAGGAGGTAGTTGAATGGGGGGGCCGTTTAAAAAATATACTTTATTTATGATTTTTAGTTTTATACATTTCAATAATTTGACAATCATTTTGACATTTCAAAACTTGACTTCCTTCCCCCTCTTTCTGCAGTTCCTTAAATTTATTTTTAATATTTTCTGCATATCCAAATTAACTTAATTTGTTCATTTATTCACCTACTTTAAATATATGCTCTTATAAAACTGCAGGTTATTACAATAATCCTGCCAATGTTCTTATCTGTTTACAGTTTATTTGTAGATATGCAATAAATCATTTCCATTATTTTATAAAAAGTTTGTTATCTTGATTTCTTATTCTTCTGGTAAGTTTCGCCATTTCTTTTTAATTCATAAGTTTTGGTATCCATTCTTCTTTTGCTGGGACTTCTTCTTTCCATTTTGGGGCAAGTAACATTCTTGCCACTGTAGTTGCATAAATTTTTATACAGTTTGAGTAGTTCTGTCCCTAGAATTCCCAAAAGGAAAGCTTCTGGCTTCTTCTTTTTTTACAACATATTTATTTTTATACATCTTTATTTTCTTTGAAACATCTTTTCCAATTCATTATAAATCATTTCCCAGTAAGCTTTAACCTTACTATAAGACTACCACATATGATAAAAACGGGAAGATGCTTTAGCCTCTACATGTAGTTGTTTCAATGACTTTAAAATGGAGATTGAACAAACAAAAATTGATTTTCCACGTCTTTGGGGTTCACAGCACCTATGTAGGAAGGAATTGTCTAGAACAGATAGATGCTGGCAAGGTAACACAGATGATGCCTCTTTCTGAAAGTGGATCTTGCGCACATTTTTGATCGCATAGAGACTAATAAATCTAAAGGGACCCCTGACCATTAGGTCCAGTTGCAGACGACCCTGGGGTTGCGGCACTCATCTCGTTTTATTGGCCGAGGGAGCCAGCGTACAGCTCCCGGGTCATGTGGCCAGCATGACTAAGCCGCTTCTGGCGAACCAGAGCAGCGCACGGAAACGCCGTTTACTTTCCCGCCAAAGCGGTACCTATTTATCTACTGGCACTGGTGTGCTTTCGAACTGCTAGGTTGGTAGGAACAGGGACCAAGCAACGGGAGCTCACCCTGCCGCGGGGATTCGAACCGCCAACATTCTGATCGGCAAGCCCTAGGCTCTGTGGTTTAGACCACAACGCCACCCACTGTACTAATACTAATACTAATACTAATACTAATACTAATACTAATACTAATACTAATACTGTACTTCAAAGCTAGGAAGATAAAAACCCACCACCCACTATGCAAGTGTTAAATCACACTTTCTAGTTCATCCCCCCCCCATCACTTCTCCTATTATAAAAGTCTGCCGGGGGCAGCAGGGTTGCTGAGCAAGATCTTCAAATCAACTATAATCAAGCAACCTGAATTTGCCAGTATGTGATTGAATCCCAACCCCAAATAATGACCGTCTGAGAACTCCCTGGGAGTCTTTTTTTCAGCTGAAGAAACCAATTCGAGGAACGTGCATCTACATCTGTTTAATTGTGTATACATGGAATGGGAAGCTGTGTTTTGTGGAGCAAGTGAATCTGCGGAATTCACTGCCACAAGAATTCACTGCCAAGTCACCAACTTTAGAAGGCTGTAAGGGGTGTGTGTGTGCTAGACATATTCACAGAGGATAAGACTATCAGTGGCTTCCAGCCAAGATAGCTATGCCCTGTCTCCACTGCTGGATACCAGTCGCTGTTGGAGGTCACAAGTAGGAAAAGCAGCACAAGTCCTACTTGCAGGGTTTCCCACCGAAGCATCCGCTTGGCCACTGTGAGAACAGGTTGCCTGACTAGGTGAGTTGCTGACCTGGTCCTTACATTCGTAGATCATGCCAGTTGCGTGACAGTCTGCACAGGGGATCTCCTTTTACGTGGAAGCAACAGCTCTGTAGGACAGAGTGCTTGCGTGTGAAGCAGCTTTTAGTTTATGGTGTGTGGAGCCACAACAAGGAGAGAGACAGCGCGAGAGACAAACAGACAGACAGACAGACAGAGATGGTTCCAGGGGAAAGGATCAATGGATGGAGGCCACATATCACATAGAGAGAAAGAGGGCAGCAAAGTGAAAAGAGATGTGTGTGCGGGAGGGAGAAAGTTTAACATAGATATGAACAAGTGTGTTGGAACAGGAGGACTATGGAGTGATCCGAATCTCTGTGCCAAGATGGTTATCAGAGATTCCCATTATGATCTCATGGCGTTTTGTGTCTGACTGCCTCCGATTCCAAACCAAGTAGAAGCAAAGGAGTGAATGAGTCTGTGTGTGTGTGTGTGTGTGATGCACATATGCTCGCTCACACCCCAGTGCTGTACTGAGCCAGGAAATCCAAAGGCCAACACATTCGCCTCCTCTCTCTCTCTCTCTCTCCAGGGCAGGAGAAAGAGTCGCGCAGAGAGAGGGAGCGAAGCAGAGAGAGGCAGCGGACAAGTGGAGCTCTTTGCACCCCGAGCATCAAACTTTTTGCAAGTAAGGAGGGGATTCCCTGTGGGGCAGCTGAAGCAGGGAAAGTCCTGGGGGAAGTGGTGGTGTGTGCTCAAGATGCCCTGCAGAGCATCTGAGTTTTGAAAAAATATTTGGGATTTCCTGAAAGGATCCTCGAGCAGCTCCAGTGATAAAGGAAAGCATTGTTTTGCTAATGAGAAAGTTGAGTTTTTAAGAACATGTCATGGTAACAAGAGACTGACAGGCTGGGGAGAGAAGGGAGCAGGTAAGAAAGTTTGATGCTGATAGACAGATGTTCTCTATCCTACATAAATGTGTCCAAGCAGTAATTTGGTGCAGATGAATGGGAGTGAGATGGGAGAGAGAGAGGGACAGATGGATGGATGGATGGATGGATGGAACGGAAGAGAGATTAAGGGTGGATGAAGGCAGGGAGAGATGAAGCAGTGTTAGAGCAGGCAAGAGAAGGCAGTGCTGTTTGACACAGGGATGAGTTTAATGCACGAGTTTCAATCCCTCAAGATCTAGTCGCAATCTATAGAGCACAGACAGGTGGCTTTTAAAATAATAAACTATTGTGCTTACTAAAGTCATGATGGCATTGTGAAAAAAATGTGAATTCATTGACGAAAATAAAAAGTACATCGGCTGAGCATAGCCATTGAAGAAGTATCACAAAGTGTGAATGAACGGAATGATGCTCTAGAGGGACGAAAGGATAATGAATGGTTGCCTCTTATCTATGAAGCTATAATTCCTCTGGTGTCACCGGGCAGCTTGTGAGAACGTTTCCAGGAATCTGTCTTATCTCTAAAGCTATAATTCCTCTGGTGTAGTCAGGCGGCTTATGAGAACATTTTCAGAAAACTGTCAAAGGACAGCTCTTTCAGCTAAGAGAGAGCCACGTGGAATTCAAAACCTACTGGGGTAGCCTGTAGGTCTCTGTGTGGATTTCGCAGTAGATTGGCATGTGGGGTTGACTGCCGGCTGTTCAACAATGGCAGCAACAAGAAAGCCAATTTTCCTGCCTTTGTTGAGGTGATGAAATGGAGAAGAACGGTAACCCAAAGTGGACTTTTGTGTGCGCTCAGTTCAGTTCCGGCACTGAACTTTAATTCCCAGGTTAACCATGTGCTCAGAGGCACACAGTTCTTTCACACTATGTCCTTTACACCTGGCTCTTCTGGATAGATCTTGGGCAGCCTTTGCCCACCTGGTGCCCTCCAGATGTTTTGAACTACAACTCCCATCAGCCCCAGCCAGTGATGGGAGTTGTAGTCCAAAAGCACTGCAATCCAATCTTGTGCTGGCTGGAGTGCACCTGGAGAGCAAAGGCTGAATCTTTGGGGTTCAAGTGAGTAGGGTGTGCGTGTGTGAATCTGTCCATTTAATTTCTGTAATTTTGTATTTTTCCAATTAGAAGTTCAGTTCTCCAGATTTCCACCTCAGTTTGCTGCTATTAATATTTTTATAGCAAGTCCTCAGGAAAATTCTGCAGCATTTCTCCCAGTAATACACCTTTTTAAAGCAGAATGTCTATGCAAGCAATTTCCCCCAAACGTTCTTCATTTTGGTATATTACTTTCACAGTTATATGCAGTTTTATGCATGCTTTACCCCAGCACATGTATTTATGTACACATTTATTGGCTGGCAGGACTGCACTGCAAAGTTCAGAGAAGTGTGAATTCTGAAGGATGGTTAGGTTTTGTCTTGGAAAGCGTGGATTAGGTACCTCTACCTTTTGACATGAAGTCAATCAGATTTCTCTCCCATTCCTACTAGTGAGAGAAGCCAGCTCTGACAAGTCTGAAGTCTGCCCTAGATATCAGATACTTGTGTGTGTGTTTGTGTGTAGACATTGGGGCTGTCTCCTATCTGAAACCCTGGACAGCTGTTGCCAGTCAGTGTACTCAATACTGAGTTAGATGGGCCAGTGGTCCAACAGCATAAGGCAGCTTCTCATGTTCCTAGTCTTTGGGGAAAGGACCTTAGCTCAGTGGTTAGAGCATCTGCCTAACATGCAGAAGGTCCCAGGCTCAACTCCCGCCATCTTCAGGGAGGTCTAGGAAAGTCTCTCTGTTTGAAACCCTGGTGAGCTACTTCCTATCAGTGCGGCTTAGATGGACCAATGCAGAAGGCCATTATTCTACATTCCTATCAGTTTCAAGGAAGGGTGATTTTCCAGAGCAGTAGACATCTTAGTCCGTTGCAGCAAAACCAACCAAGAGTCTTGTGGCACCTTAAAGACTCACAAATGTGGCCTTTGTGGTCCTGTGTTGCAGGCATTTAAGAGGAGGGCGAAAGCAATGGGAAGGGACAGAGGTAACTGGATGTACTGAAGCATAGATAGCAAGGTGGGTGAAGGATAAAGGCTGAGATAAAAGATTCAAAAGAGGATGGGGCTCCTGCTCCTTTAAGAGGGAAACTCAGCAGGTATGTCACTATTAAAGATGCAGGAATCCTGTCCTCTTTTGCATCTGGTGTCCCTAAGAGCAAACTATTGTTTGGGGCACAGAACTGGATAGACTGAGGTTGTATATTTATACAATCACCTAAGAGGACATAAAAGTGAAGAGAGGAAGAGAAGGAAGAAGATGTCAGGGAAAGGAAGATATCGACGAAGAAGTTAAATGATGCCTAGTTAGATGGAATCATAGGTCTCTATCCAATGCTAGTAGACTCATTTATTTTAATGGGCATAACTAATTCATTATTTCATTGGGTCTACTTTGAGTAGAGCTCAGTTGGACACCACCCAAATATCATCTAGTCCAACTCTTCTGCTGATGCAATAAATCTACTGGTAGTTTGGCCACCAAGGTTCTCTGAAAGAAGGAGAGTCTTTGTCTCCTTCCAAGTCCATCTCTCTTCCAGAGTTGAATGATTTACGTTGTCAGGACATTCTTTCCAAAGTTCAGACAAAAACCTGTTTATTGTTGTTTGAACCAGTGGTTTGGGGCGACTGGAAACAGATCTGCCTCATCAGAGAACTTGATGCTAGATTTATGTCAGAAAATGATGTGGTTGCAGGCTTTTTAGGGGTTTTTAAAGTCAATTCCAGGGACGCAGGTGGCGCTGTGTGTTAAACCACAGAGCCTAGGACTTGCCAATTAGAAGGTTGGCGGTTCGAATCCCCATGACGGAGTGAGCTCCCATTGCTCGGTCCATGCTCCTGCCAACCTAGCAGTTCGAAAGCATGTCAAAGTGCAAGTAGATAAATAGGTACCGCTCTGGCGGGAAGGTAAATGGCATTTCCATGTGCTGCTCTGGTTCACCAGAAGTGGCTTAGTCATGTTGGCCACATGACCCGGAAGCTGTACGTCGGCTCCCTCGGCCAATAAAGTGAGATGAGCGCCGCAACCCCAGAGTCGGCCACCACTGGACCTAATGGTCAGGGGTCTCCTTACCTTTAAAATCAATTCCATCAAGTGGTGGACTGTCTACCAGCTCATGGGAGAAATGCAGGCTGAGAAATGCACACATGAAGCAGTCCTAGCCAGAAAACTGGAAGAGGACTGGACACTCCTTTACTGATTCCATTTATTTCCTTATATCTCTATCCTGCCTGCCCAAGGGGGCTTTTGCATGGTTCTCAAGAGGTTGCCCATCCATGCACTGACCAGACCTCCTTAGCTCCAGCAAGGCAGTGGCCTGGCCTGCCTTCAGCATGGGCTCCCTAACTATAGCAAACTCCTACTGTGCTTTGACATCTGCAATGGTTGGCGTCCATTTGGGCTGGTAAGGTAAAAAGAAGGGAGCTCAACAGTAGAGGGAGCCAGAACCAACAGCAAGCAGAGGCAACCGATGCTAGTCTTGCCCCCTCCCTCCTCCCTGCTGAGTTCTTCAAGGGCAACACTGATACTAATGCTAACAACAATCTTATTATTTATACCCCTCTCATCTGAGGAAGATTAAGGGGGAGGCTGGTTGTAAGAAAGAAGGCAGGGAGGTGGGGCTTAATTGAGGGCAGAAGGAGGCTGGTGGGGCAATGCCCCCTTCGCCTTAATGGACTGTTCCACATGCATCCTACCATTTTGATACTGCTGCAGCCTTCCAGTAGACTTAGAGCCTTGTTCACATCATTCCACCTAGGAGTCCAGGGACACTCTGATAAGGTGATGGTGATCAGGTGTGGAGCAGGATGTGCTGCTATACCAGGGGACCTCAAGGCCCAGGGGAAGGATATGGCCCTCCAGGACTCTCTGTCCAGACCTCGGGACTCTCCCCAGGCCAGAGCCTTCACTGACTCTTCTCCTTGAGTGCTTTTGCTTGGACAAGACATGCCCTTGACTCGCGATCATGCCTCTTGCTTGCCTGCAGAGGGGATATAGTGGATGGATTTTGGCAGCTAGGAGAGGATATAGTAAACTTAATTTATCTCTTCAGTCTCACGTGAGTGAGGTTTAGAGCTTTAACTGCTCTGAGTTAAAATATTACAGGAATAAAAACAGAAACTTGAAAGTAGGCTGCTTAGCCTTAAATATACTTAAATATGCTCCTACAGTTTGGGATTCACCCTCTTTCCCTCCTACAAAAATAATCAGGCGGCAGACTGCGCAGTAAGCACAAGAAAATACGATGTTTACTCACATGTAAGTCTTGCCAGGATTCAGCACTGTGAAGAATACGAGGCCAGCAGTGATACTTACAAGTTGCTTTCTACATACTAAAAGTACTAAGACGGTGTTTGCTCGTGGGAGAGAGCAAATGACACACTGATTTCCATCAGCAGGTAAATGAAAAAAGAGGCGAGGAGGAAATAGTAAGGATAAAAATCATTTGCCTAAGGGGTATGATACTGCAGAGATATCCTCTCTGGCAATTCAGCTCTCTGTGAGTCTTAACCCCTTTATACACTTGTACCATAAACATAAATTGTCATTTTGGCTGCAGATTTTCTCCCACAGGATGGAGAGGTGTTGCCTGTGTTTGTAGAACCCTCTGGCTTTTGTGTTGTTGATATATAGCCAAAGAGTGACATCTCTGCTCCATCTGCAGATGAGTGACATCTCTGCTCCATC